GCTGATTATTATTATTTTTAAATGCTCAAGAGGCAACACAGACCTCCAACAGGAATAGGAATCAGAGAAATGGAGTGCAGCTCTCTGAAAGCATAATTATACTCTGAGGAACTGTAAAAATAAATTGAACTTAAGGCTTAATTGTTGAAAATGGAACTCAGAAGCAACACAGGAGTAGTGCAGGTGAAAAGCTGCGCTCTGCACTCAGCCTTTATGCCCACAGCCATCCACTTACATGCGTAATCGCTGAAATTGTGCATGCAATTGCACTTTTGCACACTGAACTCCTACAGATTCTTCCTCCTTGTGCTTTATAGAGCAAAAAATTGATTTTCTTTCAGTTGATGTGAAGTCATGTGGTTTAATCTCAGTTGATACTACCCATAGTTGCATTACATAAATGCTGAAGTTTTTAGTATATCGAGGAGACTTGTTATAAATGAAATATGGGTCTGCTCGCCAAGTGACAATAAAAATGAGCCTGTCTCACTCATCTGATCCGCTCTGTTTTTAGAGCTGGATCTGCTTAATTTAGTAACAAACATTTGTTCTCCCTCCTACGAGAGGACTGCAGGGTAAGTGTTGCTGTAAGAAAATAAGATGGATCTTTTTGGCGTGTGCACAGTCTTCAAAAGAGTTACCTGACTCCCAGTAGCAGCAGCAATTAATTGTAAACTCTAGGGACAAGAACATTCTCCGTAAGGGAATATGAAAAATCAGAATTTGACCTGCAGAGTATCTATTACTCATGATGATACGTGGGATCCAAAAGCTAAGCTGGATTTATAGGTCTGGTGGCTAGAATGTCTTTTCACTTGTCTGTGTGAGCCTCTCTGACCTGATTCGTAAGACATGATGGATTGTCACTGTGGTCACTTCTCAAAGAAATGGGGCTCAAGCTTTGGGCTCCAATGGTTTCTTGCTGTTCCTCAGACTTTCCAATGCCAATGTAACTCTTGTAACCTCAACTTTATTGTTTCAGATCCAGTGGACAAAGCTGAAAACACACCCAATCTGCCTGGTAATGTTTCCTTTCTTGCTCATCCCTTTTATTCCTCACTCTTTTTCACCTCTTGTACTTGAGAAAAATTCTGCAAAGGCAAACTGTGAAGTGCGTGCTCAGATTTTCATTTGACGTAAATCCTCTCGGCCCTTAGCACACAGGGAAGGGGAGTTCTCAGAACAGTCCTGTTTGGCGATGAGTGACCTCCCATGAGACCCACGTTTCACTGCAGGACAGAGCTGGGCTGAGCTCTCAGCAAAGTCTCAGGCAACCTTGTGCCTGGTTTTGGTGGTTCGCTTTCCTCTGACTTTTGGGGATTCAGATTACCCAACCATCCTGGCCCTGATGGTGTGAGAGCTTTAACACGTGAGACTCTTGGACAAGAGGCTCCAGAGCTTGGTTACCCCTGCCCTAGAGTCTCAGACATAAGGCTGGGAGGCTGAGTTTGGGTCCTGATCTTGTATTTATCGCTCGCATGTTCTGTCTTTACAGTACCTGGATAAAGTGGAGGTAGAGATGCGAACATGTGAAGAGCCTCGGCCGCCCAACGGACAGTCTCCCATTGCTCTTGCTGCAGGTCAAAGGTCAGAGTCCGAACCCTGTGGTTTCTTTCTGATGTTCTGCTGGGATATGGGTGGCTGTTGTTCACAGAGCCATGGAATGGTTTGGGTTGGAAGGGAGCTTAAAGCCCACCCAGTGCCACCCCCCTGCCATGGGCAGGGACACCTTCCACTAGACCAGGTTGCTCCAAGCCTCATCCAGCCTGGCCTTGGACACTCCCAGGGATGGGGCATCCACAGCTTCTCTGGACAACCTGTCACAGTGCCTCCCCACCCTCTGCGAGAAGAATTCCTTCCTGATGTCCCATCTCCGTCTCCCTCTTTCCACTTAACCCCGTTACCCCTTGTCCTGTCACTCCCTGTCCTTGGAAGAAGTACCCCTGAGCTTTCTCATAGCCCCCCAGCACTGGAAGGGGCTCTAAGGTCTCCCCGGAGCCTTCCCTTCTCCAGGCTGAACCCCCCAACTCTCCCAGCCTGTCCCCATGGCAGAGGGGCTCCAGCCCTCGGACCATCTCCATGGCCTCCTCTGGACTCGCTCCAACAGCTCCGTGTCCTTCTGCTGTTGGAGACCCCTGAGCTGGACACAGAACTCCAATGTTCTTCATGCTTACCCGTTGGTCCCCCTGCACTCAGATTTAAGTGGCTCTAGTACTGCTTGTAAACCTTGGAATCTCTGCGTGTTGCCTGACCTCTCCCGGGCCTCTTGTCGTAACAGGTGATGACTGAGGGATCTTCTCTTTGCAGTGAATATGGCTTTGCTGAAAAGGTGGTGGAGGGGATGTTTATTGTGGTCAATTCCATCACCATCAAGATTCACTCCAAGGCCTTTCATGCTTCTTTTGAGCTGTGGCAGCTCCAAGGCTACAGCGTCAACCCAAACTGGCAACAGAGCGACTTGCGACTCACCCGCATTACCGATCCGCAGAGAGGAGAGGTGAGGACGCGCCCCGTGTTGCCTGTCGTGACGCGCACAGGAGAGCACCACTCTGCTACCCCGGTCCTCTGGGGTAACCGGGCTGGCTGAATTGTCACGCAGCGACGGCAGGGAGCCTCGGTGAACTGCCCTACCGACTACTGGAAGAGAGTGGCTGACAGCTGACTTGTGTTCAGAGCTTTCTCTGATCTCTCCCAACCTGAGAGAATAAAACCGGAGCAGCGCTGGATGCGGTGTGTCTGGTTTTAAACTCGGCATGAGAGAGGGGGTTAGATGTTACCTGAGGCATGATTTTGGTTCTGTACTGGGATGACGGAAGAAAAGTGCGTTGAATGATTTTCTGTGGACTTGTTTCTCTCCACACGTTCTAAGCATTTAATTTAATCCTTGAAGTTGTTCAAAATGTCAACATTTTCCTAATTCTCTCCTTCGGGGTAGGTTTTGACATTCAAAGAGCTCACCTGGCAGACACTTCGGATAGAAGCAGATGCCACTGACAATGGCGATCAGGATCCTGTTACCACTCCTCTGAGACTCATTACCAACCAAGGGAGGATCCAGATCTCTCTCAAGAGACGGGTGAGCGTTTCCTCCGTACGTTGCAGGATACAGTCTCGCCGTCTGGTGCAGCGATGATGCGTGTTTCTTCCCACGTTCCTCTTTTTCTTCACAAACACTGAGCCCGAGCTGCTGTATCGCTCTGTTTTCTGTTGGAAACAGCTGTGTTCTTAACAAATGTCAAAGCGCTTTATTTCCCAAGGGAGGATAACATGTATGGAGCAAGGCTTTTAAATCCATTTGAACGTCCCAAGGAGAGCTGTCATCTCTTTACTGGGAGGTTAAAGCCTGGTAGCCTTATTTTTAGCTGTCAACAGAAATGTGATGAAGAGTAGATTTAAAACAAAACAAAACATCTTTTTGTGGGTTTTTGTTGTTTATTTTACTTTTTTTAAAACCAGTGAGCAATTTGCCTGCTGAAGAGGAAACACTTTGACTGCCTTCCTCCTCAGAGGAGCTGAGGCATCCACCATATGAGTTAAACTTCCCTCTCAGATTGTAGCGCAGCATCTCGTTTCTGCTACAGCTTCTGTGTGTTATGAAGAACGTGTGTGTATGGTTGCAGTTCTTAAAGCCCCTGACTGCTCCTTGCTGTTCCAGACCAAAGACTGCAATGTGGTGGCGTCTAAGCTGATGTTCCTCCTTGATGACCTGCTCTGGGTGCTGACGGACTCTCAGCTGAAAGCGATGATGAAATACGCGGAGTCTCTGAGTGAAGCCATGGAGAAGTCTGCGCAGCAGAGGAAAAGCTTGGCACCAGAGTCTGTGCAGGTGAGTCAGGCATGACTTGGGTGTTGGTGTGTGTCGTGGTTTAACTC